TTTTTCCCCTGAATAGTACTCTCATTAATGATCAAAAGTGTGCGCGTTCTCGAGATATGACCTATATCTCAGCGATAAATATTATAATTATACTGGTTCTTCACATACTATGATAAGATCTCACTCAGATTCATATTAGTTGTAGCTTATAAACCATTTAACACATACTACCCTAATTCATCACATGCCATTAGATATATTGTGTATTGATCTCTTCATACTTCTACTACACTAGAGAGCAGTATACACGAATGAGTAACATGGCACACGACCCACGCGCAGGGCTCATATACAGAAACACAATACACACCCAAGCATAATACTCAGGAGCAGTAGCACATACACACGAGTGGAATACTATCCCGATTACGTGACGGAGTTGTATTACTGGTATAGAATTGTCCGATCCTTGTGGAATAGACACCATTATATGTATGAGGATGACCTAAAACTTTCGCTAATATAAACCTTATAATAGACTAACAATATTGAGGTTTTTATCATATAACTAACCACGTACAAATTTGGTATAGACAAGAACCTATGCAATGTATCTACTTTGTCAACGTGACATAAGGGAAATATTTGTAAGCCCTGTGTGTATGTCACATGCTATACTGCATTGTGTTGTATATGTATATTATATACTATATCTTAATACCCTATCATATATATTATATATTACTATCCCTATATATAACTTATATATATACTTATATATAAATATCAATATACTATATACATATACATATATAATATAATATATATAATATAATATATATATATTAATATTATATATATAATTTAAATATACTGTATATATATATACACATATATATATATATATATCTATATATATATATTATCGTACCTATATATATATGATATTTATATATTTATATAATTAATTCAGAAAACAATACATGCACGCACCTACATACAAACATTATATGTGTATACATATATATTATATACATATATATAATACTATATATATATATATATATATATAATATATATATCATATTTAAGATTAGCGACGCATTTTTTACAATAAATTGCAGTAACTAGAGGTTCTCTAAACAGCAACACACGATTTAAATTATCATAACAAGGCAGACATCTCTCACTCTCACTCAACAAGCGCCATGACGACTCGAAAAGAACAGGAAAATCGGGTGTAAGTCCTCCGCCGCCCGCGTCTCGCCCCGCTGGCACAAACACGCACGCGCTCGTCTTTTATATGGGGGAGGCGCGCTGCCAGCTTTCCTCAACCCCTCTGTTCCACCCCCCCCGTCCTCCGTCCTCCTCTCTGTCACTCTCCTTTACACTCCACTTCTCTCTCTCTCTTGTATCAATCTACTCCAACTCACTCCTCCTTCTATTCGTCTTGCCTACACTTTAATCCATATATCTAATATATGTATATTATCTATATAATCTTATATATATATATATATATTATATATATTACTATACATATGTATATCACACATGCACAATATACATTTTATATATCTATCTATCTATGTATCTATGTATCTATCTATCTATCTATCTATCTATATAAATATATATTATATATATATATACTAAATCACACTTATATGGATACTACTATACAGTTAAAAAAATAAATACTGCACGGATTTCACGAGTAAATAATAAAGAAAACAGTAGAAATTGCCTCTTACCTCCGGCATCTGCCTGGTAACCCAAGTCCGGCCAGGCGGAGGCCGCAGCCACGAGACCGAGAAGCACCAAGACCCTCATGTTGATGGTGGCCAGGCAGGGGACACGAGGGCTTTTATATGGTCCTGGGACGCAGGGTACGAGTCTTTATCAGTTTCTTTTTTTTCTTTTATCTAAATAGATTTTATCAGCTACATGTGCACAGCAACATTATGTAAAAAGTACCTGTTTCTGGGACCAAACTTGCCGTAGGATATGGCAATGAAAGTGCTTATGTGTGTTAGTATACATATTGACACAGGTCATTAATTCGGAACAGAAATAAATAAACTAAAAGTAAACGAACGTAAACCCCTTCTTTCTCAATGCACATACATACTGCACACCCACACCCACACATACATAAATATATACACACACCCACACCCAAACATATATACATAATACATACACATACACACAAATACAAACACGTACACAAACGCGTACACCCACATACACATATACACAAACACACAATCACACACACACAGGCACACACACACATATTTACATACATCGATAGGTGTATAAACATATATGCATATATACATACACATACATGAAAATATGATATATGGATATATGTACATGCATGTAAATATATATATATATATATATATATATATATATATATATATATATATATATATATGTATATGAATACAACATACATACATACATATATATATATATATATATATATATATATATATATATATATATATGTATATACAGTTAAGTGTGTGTGTGTGTATATGCACACACACACATATAGATATGTATATGCAATTTATGCATTTATGTACACAAACATAAACATATAA